AAGAGGCCATGCTGAGAAGATGATATTTGAGACAAGATCTGAAGGAGGTGAGGGAGTGAGAGATTGGGTATCTGGGGAAGGATGTTCCAGGAGGAGGGAACACCAGGTACAAAAGGCTGGAGGCAGGATCCCAGCCAAGGCGCTAAGCTCTCCCTCTCGTGTGCTCATTCAGTCCTCCCAACAACCTGACGGTATTGATCATATTCTATACCCATTTCACAGACAAGGACTGTGAGGCTCCACTGTGGTGGAATCACCCTCCCAAGGCCAAATAGATAGGAGGTAGCAGAGTCAGGATTTGAGTGTGCCCAAGAGTGACTTCACGCCCCATGCTCACAACCACCATGCATGCCATTCTGCCATTCCTCATTCCAAATGAGGCTGCAACCTCTGGCAGCTCAAGGTGGGCTTGCGTAGGACAGACATTGATTTAATCACCAAATTCCCAGACTCTGGCACTTAAGACAGCCTGAGAAGCTGTCATGCAAACATTCCAGAGCCAGACAGAACCCGGATTCTAATCCTCATTGTGCCTTTCACAATCTATGCGACGTTGCACGATTTTGAAGTTTCAGTTTCCTCCTCTGAAAAGTGGAAATATTAGTTTATACCTCATAGGGCTACTGTGAGCATTTGTGGAGCTAATGCATGTAAGGGATCTACGGCAATGCCTGCCACAAAGAAAGCTCGACATGTTAGTGGTTAATTTTTATTTTAGTTAAGATTTGCTTGCATAGTACTCACTGTGCTCCAGGCTCTGTGGTGAGTGCTTTACAGAGGTCACCTTATTTAATCCTCTGAATGACCCTGTGGGGTGGGTATTATTATCCTCGTCTGACAGATGGGGAAATTGAGACACACAGAGATGAATTCTCTTGTCCATTGTGTGAGGAAGCTCGGGCTGCATAACAAAATATTGTAGACTGGCGGCCTTAAATAACAGAGAATTATTGTCTCACATTCTGGAGGCCAGAGGTCTGGAAATCAAGGTGTCAGCAGGGCCGTGCTTTCTGTGAAGACTCTAGGAGAGAATCCGCTCTGTGTCTCTCTCCCAGCTTCTGGTGTTGCCAGCAATCCTCAGTGTCTCTTGACTTGTAGATGCATCACTCCCATCTCTGCCTCTGTCATCACATGGTGTTCTGCCCAAGCCTGCCTCTGTGCCTCTTCACCTCTTCTCATAAGGACACCAATTATATCAGATTAAGGGACCATCCTTCTCCAGCATGACCCCATGTTAACTTACATCTTAATTGCATCTACAAGGACCCTATTTCCAAATAAGGTCACATTCTAAGGGACCAGGTTTAGGAACGCAATATTTCTTTTCGGAGGACACAATTCAACCCACAACGGCCTCCTTCACTCTCACAAGCTGGCTTCCTTCAGAGCCACAATCTGGTGCACTAACCCAAACTTTTCCTTCTACGCTACCTAGATGTGAATGAGTGTGCGAATTCCACCATCTGCCCAGCTAATGCAACCTGCACCAACACTTTGGACAGTTACTACTGCACTTGTGAACAAGGCTTCCTGTCCAGCACCAGAGAGACACGGTTCGTGGGCCCAGGAGTCGAATGCAAAGGTGAGTTCACGTCCCCTCAAAGGTGGTCGGAAAAGCAGGTGGGATCTAGCTGGGTAGCAGATACAGGTGCTTTTTGTTTATTCCCCAAATACTATTTCCTTCCTTCTTTCTTTCCTTCCTCCCTTCCTTCCTTCCTTCCTTCCTTCCTTCCT